TTACATCCCTACCCTCATTCTCTTCAGTTTAGTCCTTTTCCCCTACTCTTCTTCAAACAAGACATACTATCTCAAAGCCATGCATTATCACTGACTATGCATGGGATGCTCTCCTTTCTCAACTCTGCCTTTTAGCTTCCTGGGTTTTTTCAAGTCTCAGCTAAAATCACACCTTCTACAGGAAGATTTTCCTGCTCTCTCAATTCTAATGCCTTTCCTCTTTTATTTTATTTTTTTTCTTATTTTCTTCTTATATAGCTTGTTTGCACATATTTGTGTGTGGTCTTCTGCAGTAGATCCTGAGCTTCTTAAGGGCAGAGACTGTCTTCTGCCTTTCTTTTTATCCCCAGCCCGGCACATAGTAAGTGCTTAATAAATGTTTATTGACTGACTGACTGACTCTATCCATTCTCTTTCACTAGGTGATTGGCTTATCTTGTTTTTTGGTTATAATTTCCCTTTTTGGTTATAATTTCCCTGATGACATCCATTATACCATTTCACGTATGCCAGCCTTTGTTAATATGTTGGCTCATGCTTTTCATTCAGCTCTTCATTGTTCTTCAAAGCCTGTGCTCTCTGACTGTTAACAGGTAGTAAAGTGGAAATGCCTCAATAAAAAGGCTACCACGTTAACTTTCATTAACAAAGAGAGCACTGTGAAGGGAACAGGAAATCTACCTGTGTAAAAGAAAGTATGTTTTGGGCCCATTCTTCTCTAATACTATTGATTGTATAGTATGTAAATAGAATAGGCCATATTGTACTTTTAGAAGATCTGGTAAATAGAAGTATGTATAGAATGGTTCTATACACACACACACACACACACACACACACACACGTTTGTGTCTAATATAGCCATCTCAAACATGGGAGGAGGGAGGGGAAAAAAAAGAAAGTTACATGATAACTTTATATATTTAAAAGGAGTAGCAAGTAGTACATAATGGATTTACAATTTTTTTATAATCATATTTTTTCTATTCTACTATATGACAGAAATGCATAAAATAAATAGAATTTCTAAAAAAGAAAGAAAATTATCATGTGTTACCCTTTGGCAGAGACATTTCATTATTTCTTGTTGTCATTACATACCAAAAGTCTTGTTTGAGGGTAGCACATACTTCTTATTCTTGGAGTAACAAAACTATGAGGAAACTATGTCACTGTTACATGGTTCAGCATCAGAAATAGGTATCATTTGATCAGTGGAAATGACATTAAAGAGAAAGCATTACCACTTGTTCTGCTGCTCTACTCTAAAGACCATGGGACTTTTGTATCTGACTTGCAACTGACTTCTAAATGTGTTGTCTCCCCCATTAGAATGTGAGCTTCTTGAGGGCAGGGGCTTTCTTACTTTTCTGTTTGTATCCCTGACACTTAACAACATACTTCAGACCAGAATTTTGGTGCTATGGGTTGGACCAGAATGCAGAGGAAAAATGTGTAGAACTACCAAGTGTAGCCCAGACCAGATAAAAATGTAATTGGGAAATGTTTGACAGTACAATTTAGATAATGTCAATTTGTGGTTTTCTAAGTTGACATGTGGTAGGGAGGGATCTATTTCTGTTTGAGTTTTGACACTACTGGCTTAGCCCAAGGCATAAAAACAGTTACCCAGACACTGAGAGAGATGTGGTCGGAATGAATGGAGACTGGGTAGTATTTCAAAATGAGAAATGCAGGCTCTTGTTTTTTCCTCTCCATGTGTCTTCTTTTTCATGAAAACTAAACTCTCTTGGCATGAAGCTGCTTAGTATTCATCTTCCTGCACAATGTCTGACATAGCCAAAGTCTAATCCAATGTACTCCAGTGTCAGAAGAGGGTGGATGTTGTAGAATGGTATTGTTTCCAGACAGCTCAGAAGAGGCATAGCAGTTGTTAATCCATTTCCATATTTGTTGGTTGCCCCAAAGATACCTGCCTATACCTACATACGCACATATAGCATAGAGAAAATTTACCCTTTCTGCCAGATGCGTGTACAGGGAATTGCTATGGAACCAGTGAATTGTGATCACCTATACCCATACAGTCACGTTTCTTTACCTGTTCAGTGGATTATTGATTTATAGATAAGGAGGACCTTAGAGTTTGTTGAGACCATTCCCTTCTGTTTTTCCAATAAGGATTCTGAGGCCCAGAAAGCTAGAAAGTGACTGAGGCCAAATTCAAGCCTACGTCTTCATGATTTTAGATCTAGCTCTGCATCTCACTGTGTCACACTGCACATGTAACTGTTGGCCCTTCTTGGGTAAATTAGAATGTGTTCTGGAAAAATCTTAGGCTGGTGAGATAAAGTAAAGCTGTTGCCTCAGTTTGTTGTGAAAGAATTTGAAGTTACCCCAATTATCCTTATTCTTAATTCATTTCTTTTTCTTTTTTTTTTTTTTACTAAAGTGAGGATTCTTCACCATTTTTGGTGTCATACCTCTTTTTAGCCTGGAAAAGCTTATGGACCCCTTCTGATGATTATGTTGTTGTTGTTATTGTAAATTTATAATAGAAGTAAGTGCTAAATTTCAATTAGAAGTTAGTAAAAATAAATATAAATGTGTGTGTGTGTGTGTGTGTGTGTGTGTGTGTGTGTATCTAGTTCCCCCCATTCAATTTTGTGGATCTCCTGAAATTGAACCCACATTGAGAACTCCTAAACTACATTTTAATCTGAAGTTTTCTTTTTTTTAAGTGGAACATATTTATTGATTTTAGATATTCTATTTATTATCCTCCTTTCTTGGAGCTGTGGATGGGTCCACCCATTCTGGAAAGCAATTTGGAATTACATACAAAAATTACTAAACATTTCAGCTCTATCACTGCTAGGACTGTAGCCCCAAAGAGATAAAAGAAAATGGAAAAGATCTTATATGTAAAAAAAATGTGTATAGCATTTCTTCCTGTGGCAGCAAAAATCCTGGAAACTAAAGGGTGTCCATCAGTTCTAGAATGGCAAAATGAATTGTGATGCATGAAAGTAATGGAATACTATTGTGTGGTAAGAAATGAGGGAAAAGATGATTTCAAAAAAATATACAAAGACATGTACAGAAGAACAGTTTGTGCTACAACAATAAAGTTCTGAAACAAACAACCTTGAAGACTTACTTAAACTAATGGAAAACAAAATGAGCAGAACTAGGAGAACAGTTTATATAGTAACAGCAATGTAAGGACAGAAAAACTTAGAAACCTGGAAGAACTCTGGTTATGGCCTTTCATTCTACCCACTTCCTGACAGAGAGGTGGTGGGCTCAGAGTGCAGAATGGTGTAGGTATTTTTTTAGATATGGCCAGTGAGGAAATTTGTTTTTGTATCACCATGCATATTTGTTTTGTTTCTATTGGGATAGGGACTTGGAGGGAGGGAAAAACAAACAAACAAACATCTGTGTGTGTATGTGTGTGTGTGCATATACGTATATATGTGTATATATGTATGTATCTGTTATTTTTCTTTAAATCGTAATATAAAAGCAAAAATGAACAAAAACGTCCTTAAAATACAAATGTCACTGCCTTCTTGCCTTGCACTTAGTAAGCATGGTGTCTATTATGTTGATTTGAATTGTTAGGACTCCTAGAAATCAGCTTCTGTGGACAACCTACCATCAATTATCTATGCAGCTGAAGGCTAGCAGTATGTCAGTTAATTCGAATTTATCTATCCCTAAGCATTAATTGGACACTTAACTTGCTATAAACCCAATGATGTACCGAAAGCCATTTCTTAATGGCACAGAATGAAAAGCCAGGGCAGATTGAAGAGGGGAGGAGGGGGCAGTTCTGGGACCACCTTTTAGGAAAATTTTGGCCTGGAAACCATCCCATTTAATGAGCGGTTGAGGTAGTCAGGAGGAGTTCTAGCCAGGAGAGGAAGATTTGGGTGTCTAGGCTCACTCGTTTGAAGGGCTGGTTCCTGAAAGAGGAATGAGACTTGTTCTGCTGGGCTCCAGAGGGAGCTAAGAACAGTGGGTGAAATCGGCACAGAGGCAGATTGCAGCTCAAGATAAGAATCAATAAAGCAAAACAAACTTTGCAGCAGTTTGTGCTATCCAGATGTGAAATGAGCTCATTCTTGAGGTAGTGCCTTTTTCCTCACTGTAGGTCTTCAAGCAAAGGGTAGATGACTGCTTACTGAGTATTCTGTAGGAGCTGTTCTTGGTCAGGTACAGGTTGTTTATGACCTGCGTGCCAAACCTGACCGATCCATCTATCTCCTTTTAATAATGTAAAAATCGGGGCAGCAAGGTGGAGCAGTGGATAGCACCGGCCCTAAAGTCAGGAGGACCTGAGTTCAAATCCAGCCTCAGACCAAAACTAGCTTTGTGACCCTGGGAAAGTCACTTAACCCCAATTGCCTAAAAATATTAAAGAAAAGAATTTTTAAAAAATGTGAAAATCATTCTTAGCTTGCAGGCCATACAAAAATAGCTGGCAGGCCAAATGTGGCCCAAGGTCCACGGTCCTAAGTGGCCTCAGAAGTCCTTTCCAACTCTAAAATTATATGATTTTTTTTTTTGAGATCTTACCTATAGCTTTCAGTTTTACACTCTTGAAAGTACATACCATCAGTTCTGGCCTTTTGACATCATTGATCTCTTGAGCACCGATTGCTGAGATTGTGTTCCTATGTTATCATTACGGCATGCAGTAATTGTCTGTCACTCACCAGTTCAGATTGATATATTTTTTGTCACTTTTGCTGATCTTTTCCAATTGAACATCTTACCCCCTTCTTTATATGGAATCATCAAAATGATTTTTTGTTTGAAATTAGATTGCTAGGAACCTACCTCTGAAAACTAGTCGTTTGTTTTTTTAAATTCTATGCTATATTTTGGGTAATGTTCCTGAGCACTTAAAGATGGAAATGATATTATTTGAAGTGATATTTGCCTGATACAGAGACAAAACGTTATTCTACAGACTGATCGTTGGATGACCTGATATTACATGAAGTTAATTGATTGTTTTGTATTAACAGGATCTCCAAAGATGGGTGAATGATGCTAATGAGCATGGCTTTGTCCTGGTGTCTTTTGGAGCTGGTGTAAAGTATTTATCAGAAGATATCACCCACAAACTAGCAGGAACCTTGTCAAGGTTGCCACAGAAGGTGATTTGGAGGTAAGGCAATAAGAAAGCCAGGGAATATTTATATGCCTTTGATTTACATAGCATCTGCCCCATCGTTGAACTCTTGGGATCCAGAAACATGCTTTTTCAAGGTTAGATGGTAACTCAGAGTTCTTCATCTGGTTTCTCAGTGAATTGAAATTTAAGGGAGAATTTAGTGAAATTATCTAACTAATTAAGGGGATATCAGATCTATAGCTAACCAAAGTTGGCATAATGGCAGCATAATTTCTCATAATGGGAAGTGCTCAAATTTATTCTAAACTTGATTTCTACCTCTGAAAACACCTTTATTTCCTTTTAATTACAATTTAGACATTGATTTGAAGCATTAAGGCAGCTAGGCAATGTTGTGGATAAAGTGTTGGGCTTGGAATTGGGAAAACAGGTGTTCAGATTCCACCAGTTACTGGCTGTGTGATCCTTGGCAAATCCCTTAACCTCTCCCAGTCTCAGTTCCTTTATCTGTAAAATGGGGATATGAATAGTACCTACCTCTTAGGTTGTTGGGAATATCAAGCAAGATAATGTAAAAGGTACTTTGCAAACCTTAAAGGGCTATATAAATGCTATTATTATTGTTGCATTATCATTATTATCATTATTATTATTATTATTATTATTATTACTAATTAAATGCATATGTACAAGGCACTGTGATAGGCACTTGGGATACACAGGTGAAAAATGACAGTCTTTGCCTCTAAGCCACATACACATATTATACATATAAATGTCTCAGTTTATTGCACCTGCTTTGGGGGCACTTTGATATTTCCGAAATAAGAATATTAATGAGACTAACTATTCCCCCCTCAGAACGTCCTCTATTTGTTTTCTATGTACTTCTGTGTATACATCTTGTCTCTCTCATTAGAGGCAGCTAGCTTGTATAATGGTTATGGTTAGAGCATTAGGCCTGGAGTCAGAAAGATCTAAGTTCAAATATGACTTCAGACACTAACTGTGTAACCTTGGGGAAGTCAGTTAACTTCTGTCTGCCTCAATTTCCTCAACTATACAATGAGGATAATAATAGGACCTACCTCCCAAGGTTGTTGTTGTTAGAATCCAGTGAGTTAGTGTTTGTAAAGTGTTTATTATCTTGCCTGGTATATAGTGTGTGCTTATCACTTCTCCTTCACTTTCCCATTAGAATGTAAGCTCCTTGAGGGCAAGGACTGATTTTGTTTTGTCTTTGTGTCCCTAGTGATTAGCAGAGTGTCTGGTACAGAATGGGGAACCAGGGTTTCCACAGAAAGTTACCAGGAGAAAAGGAGTTATCAGTAGAGTATAGGTAGTCTGAAAGACTAGATTCAGAAATCCAGAGGCTTCTCCTGGATCGTCACGGTAGCAAAATAGACAGCCTCCTTTGAAAGCATGATAGCCTTCTTATAACTGATAAGCTAACTAGTAAGCAAAGTCCTTTTCTCTGTCTAACCATGAAACAAACAAATGTGGAGGGAATGAGCTGGTACAGACTGGGAATTATGTGTGTCCAAGGGCTCATAGTTCAGAGGGAAGTGTTAGTGTTCCAGAGAGAGGGAACTTAGAACGTGGAGAGGCTCTGAAGGGGTTCCTTCCTGGTTCACACACATGCAGTAAAAAGGGACCTTTTCTTTTGGCCCACTCTGATGTGTCTTCTTTGGTGGACCACAATTCGTATCACCTAACTTATGTTCACAATTGGTGTACACACCTGAATAGCAGGAGGAAGGCAGTGATGTTTTCTCCCTACATTACCCCCCCCCAGTTCTTGAACATGTGAGTTTGCTTTAGTTCCATGGATATTCATCCAGTTGTTCACCCAGGCTTGAGGAAGAATGAGCTTTTTCTGAGCCACAAAACTGTCCCTGATTCTGTGACATTTCTTTGTTCCTGAGAATGGCTGTCTCCTCATTAAAATCCTATCCTAACTACCGTTTCATACATAGGTATATGCATATGAACTTTCATGTTCTCTGCGTGTATAAGGAATGAGACTGAAGAGAGGTCCTTGTCTGGACAGCCTCTCTCTTTGTTTTCCTCCCTTCCTCCCTCCCTTCCTTCCTTCCTTCCTTCCTTCCTTCCTTCCTTCCTTCCTTCCTTCCGTATAGAGCATGCTTCTTGCCCTCATGGACACCACAGTCTATTTGGGCAATAAGGTGGAAACATGAATGTCTTTTTTGTCATACCCCAAATAATGATAGTACAGAAAAATCATCAAATTGATCTTCCTCGTTATTAAGTCAAACATGGTGTATTTGACTGTAATGGTGTAAAGGAATAAATTGCTAAATTTAATATATTTTAATTTGTTTTGCATCTAGTCATGTACATTTTTCATATCTCTGTATTCTGAATGGTTTCTCTTCTAACTTTGCATTTTAGGTATTCTGGACTCAAACCAAAGAATCTTGGGAATAATACAAAACTCATAGAATGGCTACCCCAGAATGACCTGCTTGGTGAGGCTGTTATGTATTGCATCTGTTTGTTGTTAATTGTGGAAATGAAGTCATCATGTTTATATCTTGAGAACTATGCAAAAATACTTTTTTTTTCAGATAGTTTGATCCTTGGATTACTGGAGGTTTATGATAAGTTTTATCAAATAGTTTGATTCTTAAATTACTCGTAGGCTTCCTAAATATTCTTCTTGTTAGCAAATTATTGATTATATCTGCAAGGTGTAATACAATTATACGTACATATAGTATTTTCCTATCACAGAAACAATATTGTCATTTTGTACAGCATTTGAAAACTTTTTTCAATGTACTTTTAAACTTATGTCATTTAAATTTTCACAAACATCCTATGAAATTACCACCTAATTCACCCTGATTTTGCAGATGAGGAAACTGAAGTACAAAGATGTCTAAGGAACTAGCCCAAATTTGCACACAGCTAAAAGATGGTGGAGATGCAAGTGCAATCCAAGTCTTCTGAATTCCAGCCAACTACATTTTGGTGTTTAGTTGAATTTAAAAGGTCACTGAAAAAAAAAAAGAAGAATTTAGTAGGGCGAGAGAGTGAATGGGATGAAATTTTAACCAATCCCTTTGATTCTGTGATACTTAGTTTTAAATTGTGGAAATGTCTTCCCATCTTTTGTGTCTCTTGTGTGATTTTCTAAATGTTTGTCACAGGAAGTCTACCCCATTGCATTGAAGGCCTTCCTTGATTTCTTCCAACACCACAAGAGCGCTCTGGCTGTCTGCCTGTCATCTTTTCCCATGTAACGAGCCCCACTCTCTCTCTCTGTCTTCCAATTGCTTGATGACAGCCTTTGCCCTTATCCTTCTGGGTTCCTCTTTGGTGCTGTGTTGCAGTCCGCCATACCTAGCATAGGCCTCCTCATTGCTGCTTTATGATCTTTAAATTGAGGTTCATGCAAAAGGACAACTAACTCTTACTCTGGGCATCCGCACCAAGATACCCGCACTGTGTTGAGGAGTTGTTCCTAATTGTTCCACATCCTTACCCAAGTACATCTTATTCAGCTCGGTCACTTATCTTTGCATGGTTTTCCATTCCCATCCGAGTATACCTCACTTCCTCATGGTGTATTTCCTTTCACTCCTTCTGACTCACAACCCTCTCAGCATCACCTCAGTTGCTCAGACCACAACACTGTGTTCTGTTCTCTATACAATAAAACGCTACTGTCAGCTTGCTGTCCAAACAACCAGGGATCAACATCCTGACAAAGCCGTTCTGATTACTAGCATCAGGAGGCCTTTCTGAGTGTCCCTTAATACCTTACAGGTAGTCAGTTGGTAACCTCAGATAGCTCTTTGGTCACAGAGAACAATTTCTTCATCAAATTCTATCAATTTTCCCTCCATAGCTAAGAACGTACTTTGAGGGAGAACTATCGTGACCTCTCTCCCTTACTCATTGTAGTGAATTCTACCATATTTTAATAAGGTTTCCCTCTGGATTAGTATTTTTCCACATTCTGTCCATTTATTCAGGGTCTGTCCACTTCCCAAGCTAATCACTGCCTTCTCTGTTATTCCTTCCTTTTGTTATTAGTCTTTCTCTGCATGGGCTTCTCTTCTCTGCATTACTCTCCCATTTTTTAATGATCTTCACTTACCTTCTCTTTAACTTATAGTCTTGAAGCCTACGTAGAGTATTAAGAGATTAAGTGACTTGTCCACAGTTACATAGCCAGAAAGTCTCCTTGAATGCAGGTCTTTGTGATTTTAGTATTCTGGCCAAATACAAGGGTCATTGTAAATGCCATCACCTCTAAGTTAAGGGCACGATCAGTTGTGTGCTAATAAATGTTTAACTGGTGGCTTTCTGGGGCAAAAATGTTCATATGACACAATTAAATCTCATGCTCAGTTTTTCTCAGTCAATTTCTTAAATTTAGCCAATCAGTAGAACAATAAATTAAAAAAAAAATCCTCACTCTCCTCTATCTATAAGTTGATCTCTCAGCTCTCGATCTAGAGTCCCATGAGTCTATGGCTTTGTTTTAGGACAAACTCCGGCTTCTCCCTTTCTTCTCCTCCCCTTTCTTTTTGCTCTGAATCTTTCCCATCTAAGACTCCTTTTTTTCAACTCTTACTTCAACCAGTAGCTTCCTAGCAGCATTGAAAAAAACAGCTCCAGTCTCTCTTGGGCCCTTTCCTTTGCCATGGCCTATACTGAATCATGTAATGTTCTATGGCCCCCTTAGGTCCACAGAGACCTGAACTGTTTTTGCATGTTCTGATCTGGACTGTCATCTTTGAGGGTCCCTCTAGTTGTAAAAATCTCAGGATTCCATTTGACCTGGGCCTCTTTAGTAGGTTGGTTTAACCTACTGCACCACAAAATGTGAGCTGTCTTTATACTAGCCTAATGATGTGGTTAAACTGCCTGAACTCTCTGGTCTGCCAGATGAGTGTTTCCCAAACTTGATACAGTAGAAGGAATGGTGGATCTGGAGTCCAAGGAGCTGGATTCAGAACACGAACACACACACACACACACACACACACACACACACACACGCGCGCGCGCGCGCATGCACATGTGTGTGTATGTGTGTAAATAAATATAACTTTTCCCCTCATTTAGCAGCTCTATTCTCATTGTTTCACCAGAGGCAGTGTTGGATAATGGGTGGAGTACTGAACCTTCAGTTAGGAAGCCCTGGGTTCAAATTCTGACCATGGAGTCAGCGGACCTGGGTCCAGATGCCATTTCTGATGTTTGCTACCAGTCCGACCAAGAGAAAATCCATTTAAACTCCTTGACCCTCAGTTAACTCATTTATAAAAGGAAGGGATTAAACCAGGTGGCCTCTGTGGCCCTTTCAGCTCTAGATCTGTGTGATCTCTGATGGTTGACCTAGGACAACTCATTAGGGCTTTTCTTCTAAATCAAAGGAAAGATACAGTCTACAGTCTGTATTGATGAAGAGAGCTCCCATACTGGTAGTTCCCTCAAAAATGATAAAATCTCAGCTCACTCAAATTGAAAATAAAATTGTTAAAAATGTTTCTTCAAAGCCACTTACCAATAACCAATTACAAAATACCAATCTTTAAAGCCATTACCTATAACTTATTCAGAATTGTTTTCAGTTTCTAGAAACATCTTGTGACAGATTTGTATCTGTGCAATAGGAGCTCTTTACTTGGGGATAGATTGATGGGGGGGAGGTCTGTGAATTTGGATAGGAGAAAAATTACATCTTTGTTTCCACTAACTTCTAACTGAGCCTTTTCTTTTCCCTCAATTATAAATTCATTCAACATGTATTCTGAGAAGGGGTCCATATGCTTCAAAATACTGTTAAAAGGGCCCATGACCCCAAAAAAGGTTAAGAAAATCTCTACTGTACATGTAACATTCCTGTTTCATCATTGTTCCCTTCTTTAGGACACTCAAATATTAAAGCCTTTCTTAGCCATGGTGGCTTGAACAGCATTTTTGAAACTATGTATCATGGAGTTCCTGTGGTGGGTATTCCACTCTTTGGAGACCATTATGATACAATGATCCGAGTCCAGGCAAAAGGCATGGGGATATTGCTGGAATGGAAGTCAATGACTGAACAGGACTTATACGAAGCCTTGGTTAAAGTTATTAATGATCCCAGGTAATGAATATTTCCTAGTTTAATTTATTATTGAAACAGGTGAAACATACAGGGTAAGAGGTTTTAAAATCTCTGTGCATGCTGTCTTATGCATAGCTTCCTTCCATCATATAATGGAAAAGTATTACAACAATATAGTGTCCATATTGTGGCTAGAAGTTACCAAGTTTCTCCCCAGCATCAGTTAGAGCAGCTCACCTGCCTTGGCCCTTCTGTATAGGTCTGTTTACTGAAGCTGCTTGATCCATTCTGGGCTGACCAACCCTTCCCACAGCCTCCTGCTCAAAAATGGGCAGCTTTCTTATTGTACCTGGCTTTCAGAATGGTTACATGCATTATGGCATGCAGTGAAGGCCCAGGTTCTAACTCAGGGGACTTTTGTCTTGTTATCTTTAGGTTGAGGTCATAAGGGAAGTGTCACTACATTCAGGACCAAGCGAGGATTGTCTCTTACCCTTGGGCGTATGGTAATAATTTGTTCTAAGACCTGATAATGCCCAAGTGAGGCCCTTTCTTACTGTCCTGCATAGCACTCTTGTTAAGGTCCAGATTCCAATTTACATGCAAATGTTGGCTCTGATTTCCCAAAGGAATTTTCATCCAGATTTGCATGCATAAATGTAGTTTGTCGTGGGCATTTTTGTCTATGCCATAGGCTTTTCTAGAGGTTAAAAGGTGATGCCCTCAGACACAACTAATTCTGTAATTTTGGAAGAAGAACCAAATAATAAGACTCTCCATTGTCAGTAAACCCAGCTGAGCCCTGCTCTACCAAGTAAGTCTAAAAACACCTATCTGTATAGCAGGGGTATCTTTAAAGTCCTGGATCAAGCAGCTTTTACAATCCCATCTACATTCCTTTCCTTTTTCAAAGTCTGACTTTGAAACATATGTGGCTTTTTCTACAATGAAGAATTTTATGAATAATGTGTGAATTTTAAAACAATGGGTGATAAAGCACATTTACTGGGTAACCAGTGAGTAAACTGTCTATAATATTTGAAAATTTGAGTCTTTGGGCCAGAGGGCTTTTATGGCCTCTTTTCAGTGGGAAGATTGAGGTTGGAGCTCCCTAATCTAGAAGTTCTCCACTTCCAGAGGGCAAGGAGAAAACACTAGATCCTTAACAGCTCAATGAAAGGGGTTTGTCAGTGTGGAGGCAATTTTTTGTAAATAGCATCCTCCAAATCCAAGACTGAACTGGGCCTCAGAAATTGTCTAAGAAATGAAGAGGCTGTTCCAGTTGTCTGTCATCATCGGTATAGAGACAGTTGCTCTGGCAAACTGGTCTGGTCATTGTACTATCTAAGAATTTTGTATCTGTCAGATCAGTCAGCTATTAAATACTGTGATTAAGTCAGTGTGCTAGGCGCTGGGCATACAGAAGCAGAAATGAGACATTCTTTGTCCTCAGAGAATAAGTTAACATTCTAATCCAGATGGTTCCAGGGTTGTCCCAAAGCCACTGCAACAGTTTGGGACAGGTCTGAGCTCAATTGACTTGGGGATAAATATGTAAAGAATCATCTGACAAGAGACTGGGCCTCTTGCGGCCTCATTGAGTAGATGAATGTTTGTATTCTTAATGTGGCTTTATAATTTTAAAAAGAATTGGTGGTTTACAACAGCTGAGGGAGATCAGTAATACAGGTAGGTAGTACAGTACCCTGTTGTACAGATAGCGACAGCTTGGCATGGCAGATTGAGAACTGGATTCAAAGCCTAGAATACTGGCGTTCAGGTCACAGCTCTGACATATCCTGACTGTGTGACCCTGGGCAAATGACTTAACCTCTCAGGGTTCCAGTCTCTTAAGACTGTAAATTGCAGAGGAGGTACCAGCCTGCTCTGAGAAAGAGAACTGCCTCACGTGAAAGTTCTTTATGCTAATGAAATCATGGGTCCAGTTGGTCAGCCCTATTTTATAGATATGGAGATAGGTTTAGACAGATGATCAAATGCCTTATCCAAAGTAACCAGGCTTATGATATCCTTTTCCAAGCTTGTGATATCAAATGTCCAGAGAAGCCATTTCAAATATGACTTACTTTCATTTTCTAGCAGCGAGATTTAAGTTGTATCTGAGGGTGGATTTTATTATTGTTATTTACAAATAAATGATTAAAATTCATTTTCTAGGTCTCTCTAGTGTCCCAGTTTGACATTGATAGGATGATCTTTCTCTCCATGAACATTTCCTAACCACTAAACTTTGTAATAGGAAACTTCTGTTTCTCTTTTATTAACCCATTAGAAGTAATATTAAATTTCACAGGAAAGGGTTAGACTCTGAAGGTTCAGAAGCCAGGTTATGCTATTACATCTTTTAGAAAAGTTAAACTTTATTCTATTATATTATTATGTGTATATTATGAGAGTCTGGGTGGCTTAGTGAATAGAGACCTAGTCTTAGAGTCAGGAATACCTAGGTTCACCGTATACCTCTGACACGTACTTGCTGTATGTAACCCTGAGGAACTTTAGCTTCTCATTATCTTGGGCAACAAGGAAGGCGACTGTCTGCCTTGGCAGAAGAGGTTTCCTCTTTAGGAGTTCCCAAGTTGATAAAGTCACAGGTCCAGTCAGTCAGTCAATATTAAGTGCCTACTGTGTGCCAGCCGCTGTGCTGCGTGCTGGGGATACAAAAAGAAGCAGAAGATAGTCCCTGTCCTCAAGGAGCTTACCATCTAACAGGGAGACAACATGCAAATAAATATGTACAAAGCAAGCTAGATAAAGGATACAAGGTATACTGGATCCAGGAGATGGAGCTTCTTGCTCCTGGAACAGCCATGAGGCCAGTGTCACTAGATGGAAGAGCATGTGTCAGAAGATTGGAAAGGTAGGAGGGGTGTAGGTTATGAAGAGTTTTGAATACCAAATAGAGCATTTTTTATTTTATCTTGGAGGTGATTATAAGCTATTGAAGTTTATTGAGGGGTGGGGAGTGTTTTGACATGGTAAGACCTGTGTTTTAGAAAATTCACTGAATGGAGAATGGATTGGCGTAGGGAGAGATGCAAGACAGGCAGACCCACCAGCAGGCTGTTGTAGTAATTCAGATGTGAAGTGATTGGCATTTGCACCAAAGTTGTGGCAGTGTTAGATGAGAAAAGGGGGCAAGATTTTGTGGAGGTAAAATCAACAGACCCTGACAACAGATTAGATGGGGGGGGGGGCAGGCGGGTTAGAAGTAGTGAGGAATCCACCATGACTCCTAGGTTGTGAGCCTGAGGGACTGGGAGGATGGTGTTGCCCTCTACAGTAGTAGGGGAGTTAGGAGGGGGAGGAGGGTTAGGGGGGGAAGATGATGAGTTTGGCTTTGGACATGTTGAATTTAAGATGTCTACTAGACATCTAGGTTGAGATTATGAAATGAAGTTGGAGATAAAAGATTGGAGGGCATCAAAGAATTTGGAGCAGGATAGACAGATTCAAGAATCACAACACAGATTAAATTCATGGGAGTTGATGAGATCACCAAGTGAAGTAGTATAGCAGAAGAAGAGGGTAAAGACAGAACACCTATGGTTAAAGAGCATGATCTGGAAGAGGATCCAGCAAAGGAGACTGTCAAGGAGTGGTCAGATAGGTAGAAGGAGAGCCAGGAGGGAGGGGTTACCTGAAAGCCTAGAGATAAGAGACTAACAAGGAGAGAGTGATCAGCTGTATGAGACGATGCGGAGAGGTCAAGGAGAATGAGGACTGAGAAAAGGTCTTTGGATTTAGCAACTAAGATCATTGGTAATTTTGGAGAGAAAAATTTTGGTGGAATGATGAGATAGGAAGCTGGATTTTAAGGGGTTAAGAGAGTGGGAGAAAAGAAAGTGGAGGCACTTATTGTAAACAGGGCATTTTCAAGGAGGTTATCAGCCAAGGGCAGAAGAGATATGGGATAATGGCAAGTATGGAAGGTTCAAGTGAGGAAAGTGTATATTTCTCGGCTATTGAGAATGAGCCAATAAAAAGGGAGAGATTGGAAATAAATGATAGTATGGGGGATGGCTGAGGGGCAACCTATTGTCCAGTGCAAACACACCACCACCATTGAAAACATTGTCATGGGAATATTGTGAATAAGTAAGTTAGGTACTTTGAGAAGTTATCTCCCACCTGCTCCATTATCTGAAACCACAGGCAGGCCAAGAAACCTATTAAGGGACCATTCACTTGTTGTCTTAGTGTGTACAGCTGGTCTGGTGTGAGTGCCTGCTTGTTAGGCAAAGCTACCATAATCATGCCTTCGACAAACAGTGTATCTACAGAGTGAATCTTGTCCTGTTTTGTCCTTCCTCCCTTGCATGATGTACTTACCCACTGCACAACAGACAAATTGTTATTATCAAGTCCCGTTCAAGAATGTGGGATATTAACGTTTTAAACCTTGTTTTCTCCTCACTTGTTGTCACTTAGCTACCGTGCACGTGCCCAGAAGTTATCAGAAATTCACAAGGATCAGCCTACTCACCCTGTCAATCGAACTGTCTATTGGATCGATTACATTCTCCGTCATAACGGAGCAGACCACCTACAGGCCGCTGTTCACCGCATCTCTTTCTGTCAATATTTTTTACTGGATATCGTCTTTGTGCTGTCACTGGGTGCTGCCTTACTTTACTTTGTTTTGACAAGAATGGTCAAATTCACCTACAAACAAAGCACACGTTTCTGGTCTAGAAATGAGCATAGCACTGTTAATGGACATTACCACAATGGAATCCCCAATGGCAAGTATAAAAGGAATGGCCACATTAAACATGAGAAGAAAATGAAATGAGCCAACCCACCTACAGTGTCTTGAGGAATCAGTTCAGTAGTTGAATTTTTATCACTGTAACTTAGTCTAACAGCTACTTAAAGGAAAACCTCAGTAAACAAGTCTAACACTTCCCTAGGTAATCTTACAGGATGAAATTCTCTGGAACTAAGATTTCTTAAAAAAAAAAAAAGGCACAAACCTAAAATGCAAAAACGTCTTATTCGTAATACTGATGCAGAGAGGTTATTTTGGCACTGGCATTTTTAGCAGCCTTAATTCTTTGAATCAGTTGGATGACCCTAACAGTTTTTAGTTTTAAAACCAGAATGTATATGACCCAGGTAAGAAATTTTTTGTCCTCAAAAAAGTTTTTTTAGTTTAGTTTTTTTTTAATGCTTATCTCTTAATTGAGAGAATTTCAGCTAGCTACATATTAAATTTGTTGAAGTCACAACAGTTCTGAGAATGAGATTGAGAATAAGGCCATGATCCCAGAATGTTTGGCACCCAGAAATTTAACAGGTTGTAGACTCAGAATATTACTATGAAAGAATGTGTCCTCCCTAAACTGAGCAGTGAAGGAGAAAATGATCTTTTTACTGTACATAAACTCTTTTGGTCTCTGCTATTGAAAACATGAAATTAAGTAAGGGTACAAATGATTGTCACTTAAGATGTACACATATTTTTGTTTTCTTCTTGTGTTTTCCATTTACCAATAACTTTCCTCTGGACAAATTTTATGGGATTTTTAAAAAAATAATTTAAACAAAGCACACATGTGTTATAGATAATAATTAAGAAGAAATGAAGCTCTGACAACGACGTCCTTGCAGAAGGTTTGACCTTATACGCATAGCATTGTGAAAGGGTCTGTCTCTCTCTCTCTCTCTCTCTCTCTCTCTCTCTCTCTCTCTCTCTCTCTCTCTCTCTCTCTCTCTCTCATCCTTTTCTTCCTTCCTTTCTTCCTATCTTTCTCTCCATTCCTTCCTTTCTTTCTTCCTCTCATTTTTTTTTGGGGGGGAAATTGGTATATAAAAAATACTTCAGGTCTTTCCTATAATAGGATATTTATACCTAAAATTTGTTCCATTTGAACAATTCTATATTGGAAGAGAGAAAAAAGTAAGCATCTTCTTTGTTCCTTATTGGTTTGGGCCGCTCTATCTTCATTACATCATTGCCAATATTTTATGCTCTCAAAACAGGACAAACACGTATCTTAGCTGGGAACTGCCTTTTGACAAGAGGTTTAAAATCAAACCATATGTACCATACATAAAGACCACGGAGATCATGTCTTTCTTTTCCCAGCATGATCTCCATTGCTCCCTTCCCCTGGCAGTCTCTTTCAATCATTGTGGCTGACATGGGACATCAACAGTATTGAATTGAGAACAGGGATGCAGGAAATTGGGCAGAATAAAACCAAAACGATCCATCCTGCAGAAACTGTCAGGGTCGGCAACTATGAGTTTATTTCCATGTCATTCTGTTTACTTGGTGTTTGCACTACAGATGCGGAGTGTATGCTTTATTTATATATAGTTTTAAATCCCACGTCTCACTGAGGGAAGGGAAAAGAACCATTTATCTAGTGTTGTTCACTAACATGGGAAATGTTATGAAAATTAGATAAGAGTATGGAAGAATCACCATCATACACAGTGACGCAACATTTTATTACCAATCCCACCAGGAGCCACCATGCCATTGTGCAAATTCGTGTCACAAATAGGTTTCTGATATACAGTGCAGACAAGTGTGCTGCTTTCTGAATACTTGAAGAAATGGTATTATAAATAAGCCTATTAGCTATGCTTTTTTTCTGTTTTCTTTTTTCCTTTTTTTTTTTTTACATTCTTAGCATGACGGGACAATTAAACGAGCATGCATAAACACAGGCAATGATTGGTGGGGTAGTAATAGGACTTAGAGTGTATGAATGAGCTGGTTTTACTGTTTTTGGTATTGAAGAAAGTAGCTAGTACATGCACTGACCGGATGATTAAGCCTAAGTTAATCTCCACTGTGATAAAACAAACAAACAACTTAAACAATAAACATGAATTTAATAGAGAAAAATGTTGTTGGTAATAAGTTTTTATTTTGGTGATGTTTCATAGAATTATGTGCGTCCACTATGCTGTCTTCTTGCTCTCTAGATTCTTCGTGTGTGCGAGCATGAACACATCTATCTGTGCATCGTGCATTCTGTCTGAGGCAGCTTTTGTCCTCATAATTTGGGGGCAGTTAGTGTCAAACAGCATAAATGCACTTTTATATCAGAGCATCACAGAAGTAAAAATGCCAGGCACGGATGTGCACGGAGCATTTTGTTTCTTCATAATAAGCTTATTGTTGGTTGGTTTCAATAAATAAGAGTGATTTCAGGATTTGCACACTTGTTCTTAATCCTCCAATAAAGTACAATGTTCAAGAAGCTTGGGTTGTCTTTCCTTAGAGAAACAACAGATTCAAACCTCCTCATAGCTTTCCAAGGGGTGTCAAAAGCAAACGAATTATGTCTTTTTCCTCCCTGCTTAGTGTCACAAGGTAGTATGACAGTTGGCCTTGCCTAGCTGTGTGACTCTGTACAGGTCATGGCCGGGGGTGTGCTGAAGCCAGCTCCACCGAGCTCTGGAGAGCAGATTGTGTAATTTTCACTTACACCTCAGACATTGGCAAACACTGACTGAACGTTTACACCTTCTGACTTTGGCAAACACTGGAAATCAGGACTTGATTTATGGTTCTGCTGATTATCTAGATTTAACAAAGCAATGGAGAAAATGTTATATAATGCATGTTAAACTTTAAAGTATGTCATGTATGAGAGCCAGTTAAAGTTTATCAGTACATCCTTGCATATGATTTCTTGGTGCTAGGCAGCTTTCTAAAGCTCTGACATTTCAGAGAAAGGGCCAACCTGTACTGGAAGAAGGAATTTTCTTAACTCGGAATTCCATGTAGCAATGAAGTCTCAGGTCCAGCTTCTGTCCCTATTTTGGGGACCACTTATTCTAGGTCACTGACACCTGGCCTCAGAGATGGGGTAATAATGGCTTTTCTCTTTAGAATTGGGGGAGTAGCTGTAACAGAACAAGGGAGGTTGGGGGTGGGAGGAGTAAGCTTCACACACTGCTAAGTTTAATTTACATAACATTTTCTCACTTTCTTAAGTCTAGACCTACAAAACAACAAACCAAGACCTAACTTCTGTCCTCAGAGGTGTAAATGCTCACAACTACAAATTTAACAATTGACTCTTGAGAGCTGATTTGAGCTGGACCCCACACAGCCCTGCTGAAGGTCTGACAGTAAGGGATTAAGAGATGCTGTGTTTCTCAACATTCTGGATGGTGGAGAGCAGGAGAGGGAGGGACTTAACAGAATTTAATCTTCCCCTGCTTCCTTCCCTCTCTCTCACTGCTGTAACCTGGGTTTCTGGGCTCACATGACCCTCTAGGGTATTTAAGGCTAGGCCAAGTGTTGCTCTGATTGGCTTTTAAAAAAACAAAAAAAGCAATACTGCTTTCTTACTTAGTGTGAAAGCTTTGTTGCTAATTGATTTTTTGATGTTGGGACAAGTCATATCCTTTCCTGGACTTTAGTAATTGTTTCTCTTTTGACCAGCAAGCCTGAGGATCTTCCCCATCCCAGTTAGACTTTTTTTTTTTTAATCAAAGGGGCCATTCCTTGACCCACTTCTTCAACTGGCCTATTCACTGAATGGGTGTTGCCTCACTCAAAGTGAGAACTGTGAAAGACCTTAGCTTAAAAAGACCAAGGTCTCCCACTGTATCCTGGGCCATCTTGGCTGTGGAGGATAAAGTGAGCCTTATGACTTTGCAAAGCCCTTCCTCACTCAAATCTAATCCATTGCAAGTCATTGCATCATCTCCATGGTGTCATGGTGACCTCTTTGAGAGCAAAGGACAAACCACAAGTTTCCTAATGTATAAAAGCAAGAATGTTGGACTAGATAAATTGGTGCCTTTCAACTCTGAACATTCCATGAGAAATGTATGACAGTCACATCATCTTATGTGCAATCACACTATTATCACCTCCAGTCCAGTGTGAATACAGGAAAGCAGATTTGGCCACCCTTCAGTTGTAGAGGGAACACTTAACTCTGTAAGTTGCTACTTGCTCAGTTAGGAAGGGCAACCTTGGGCTGGCTTTTGAAATTTTCTGCATTAATAATAATAATAAATTTTTATATATAGTGCTTTAGGTTTAAAAAAATGCCTTTAAAATATTATCTCATTTTATCCCCAAAATAACCAAGAATTAGATGATATTATCTGCAATTTACAGATGGGGAAACCAAGGCAGACAGATTAAATTATTTCCTTAGAGCCACACAACTGGTAAAGCACCCCAAGGCCAGATTTGAATTCAGACCTGACTCCAGGTCTGACACTCTGTCAGAACATTTTGGTATTTCTTTATGGAAAACTTTATTTGGGAAAGAAGACTACAACGTTTATTTCATGGGACTGTTTTTTTTAAAATTGATTAACATTTATTTTCTCTCCATCACCCTTATCCTGTACCCGAAAAAAAAGAAAAGCAAAGCCTTTGTGTTATACGTGGTCAAAAAAACAATTTCCCACATAGGCTATTTTTTAAAAACGTGTAGCTCATCCTGCGTATGAAGTCCACTGGGCAGCAGGTAAGTAGCATGCTTTATCCTTGATCCCCTGGAATCATGGTAGGTCGGAGTTCTTCAGTCTTTCACAGTTACTTATTTCATAAGATTTCACATGGAGTGTTTTTTTAATCACCTTGAATAGGTATACAGGTAAACAATAATTTGACTTAATAAGAAAAAGCAAATATTTTCTCAAATAATCCCAGATGATTTCCTTATAATCCTTCCAGATTATTCCTTATTAATTATAACAATTATTTCAGCTATCTTTGAAATTTTTTTCCGCTTTCAAAAGTAGAGAATTTTCTATCTCGTTTCTGTACATGAAAATGATGATTTATTTGCCTTTTGGCCATCTTTTCCTCCAAGCTAAATACTATAAGTCTTGTCATTAAAAATGCATTTACTCCATTGTGAAGATGAACAGTTTTGAGATGAATATAACAGACAAAAGGACAGAACACTTCCAAGGACTAGGCCAACAATTAGTTTTATTTTTCATTTAATATGTGAAACATTTATAAAACCAT